AAGAAACACTTAATTGCAAAACACTTATTTGCTCGCGGTAAGTTTTTTATTCATTATATTTTTTTAAAGAGTTTTTTTTTTGTTATTGAATCTTCATTAAGGATCATTTAATTGCAGAGCACTCATTTGTTTGTGGTAAATGTTTCGTTCATAATGTTTGTTAAAGCGTTCCTTTTGCTGGAGGATTTCAAAATTTTGTTACGTGGAAAGTCTATGGTTTTATGGGAGTAAGCCCTAAATTTAAAATATAAGCAAAGGTAACATACATTTTTAATCGAGTTATCCTTAAAAAGCAATAACTTCGTGAGATTTATCGGAAAAAAAACTTGAATCTAAAATCTGCATTTCTTGATTTCACTGACTTTTTAGTGTTTTTTCTTAATCTTTGTTTATTATTAAAAACAATTTATCAGATCTTTTTTTTTCTAATTTTTGTGTTTTTAAAGTTGGTGTCAGTTTTACTTTTTCAAAGTTTTTTTCGGGGGGAAATCATTTAAAAAAAAAAAACTAACCTATATACATACACATAACAACCCAACACCTACTAGAAGTTACAATTATTAAATAAAATGCAATTTGGATCATAAGGTTTTCAAATTCAATAAATTTATCAACAGTCAAATGTGTGTTTTTGAGATTACCTTCATTTTTATATCTCAGTTTTATGGTCAAAAGTGCCTCGGTCACAGGGTTAATATAACGCACAGATTTCAAACCTTTTTTTGGCAACAAAAAAAAACCGTTTATTTGCGTTCTCTATTTCCGATGTAGTGCACTTTTAATCATACAGCTAATTTATTGAAAATTCTTACTGTTCCATCAATTTATAGTAAATCTTTTTCTTTCGAAAATTTTTAATGAGCCCGAACGTAAACAAGAATTATTTGCTGCAAACATCTAAGTCAGTGTAAAATAACCTAAAAAAAATTTTTTTTTAAATAACCAAAACAATTACATTATGTTCGTAACATTATGTTTGTCATAAATAAAAAAATATCGAAATAATTTGTTCAAAATTTAAAAGAACAGAAGAACAGTTTGAATTTTGAAAAGTGAAAAATAAGATACTTCAAACTTTCAAGTAAAAACTATTTTTCGTGTGTGAAAACAGCAAGCAAAGCGTTTTCTTTTTTCTATAGAACTGGTTTGTAATATTTTACTAAATAAATGGTTGAATTAATAGCTCTTTAATAACATTCAATTCATACAGCATTAAATATGTGTTCGTTTTTCAATACAAAATAAAATTATCAATTTTAAAATGTTTTTAGTATTTAAAAAATATTCTTTTGTTACAAAATTTTCACGCATAGTTCCTTCAGGAAACCCCAACGCCCCCGTACAAATTTACAACGCCCACAAGGGGGTGATAACGCCCACGTTAAGAACATATGCTATAACAAGTGTTTTCGTTCGATTTTTGAACATGATTCTGAAGAAAACATTTCTGTGGGAGAGAAAATCCTTCCTATAAACATTGTAAGAAGTGCGTCTGTACTATCCTACCTCCGCACTTCTCAACCCCAACGATTGTTACAATCTCAGTTTTTTTTTTTTTTTTGACATCATCAGTCAGTTGCATTTAATTAAAAAGGATTTATTTGAAAGGTTTAAGATGTTTAATTATATTAATACCGATTTGATTTTGCTTTAAAAATTTAGTTCCCAAATCGGGATAAATGTCATTTTAGATTTCGCTTGGTAAACCTTGTAACGTCATCATCATATAAGTGAGAAAGTGGATCATACGTTTAGAAGAACAGTCTGGTATTTTTATCGTGATTCTTCAGAGTATGTAGTGAAACCATTTTTTCCGTTAAACTTGTTTATTTTTCGGCACTTTATTATTACTAAATGTGTGGATAGTTAGAATGATAATTTTGGAAACTAGAATTTTCGATAAACCACTTTTTAAAGAAGTAAAAAGTTATCAACGGAGCGAATTAAATACCGAAATTTTGGTGCTATTCCAGTTCCCCAAAGTTCCAGATTTTTTTTAACAGAAATTTCTTTACCATTAAAAAGTGCTTTTTTGCAGAGTTTCTTATTCTTACTGTCGGTGCCTACTTTCTCAGGGTCACTCCTTAGCACTATGGAAATTTTTCATACAGTTGAGAATTAACTTTGATTTATTAAAAAAATTTTCAGCTAAATTTGAGAATTCCATTTAATTTTAGAAACATTCTTTTATACACCGAGAAAAAAATTATTGTCAAAAATACAGGAAAATGGTAAAATTTACCGTGTTTCTGGCTCTATGGCAACACTAGAACGCTCGGTAATTTTGACCGAAGCGCTTTGGTAATGATGTTGGTAAAATTAACATTTAAATACGGTTTTAAAATATGTGATAAAATTTGAAAAATGTGGTAACATTTGGCAATTTCATCATGATACTTTAGAGCATGACATAAAAACTATTTATTTTACTTAATTTACTTTTCTGTTTTTTATTTTTTACTAAATTTGTGGTAATAAGAACTATAATTTTGAAAACCAAGATTTTTCGTAAACCGTTGCAAAATATGAACGAAAAAATTACTTAAGGAATCATTTAAATACCGTTTGTATTTTGAGTTTTATTTCCAGAAGTATGGTTTTTTTTTTAACCATAACTATCATTACTCATTACCATAGATTACAGTAGTTTAATCTCTGTGGCAGAAACTAATCTTTTAAAACGAAACATCACATGAAGCAGAATTATCTTTTCTGTTCAAAATTTAAGTAAGTTTTAACTTTTAAAAAAAACTTTCTGTAATTTATCCAGAATTTCCTAAAATATCTGCGTCAAATAATCGTCTTTTATCAATTATCAATGAAGGTGAAAAACAAAATGGTCGAGATGAAGTAGGAATTATAATTAATATCGTGCTGAATACATTTGTCACTTCTTTTTTAAAATTTTAGCAAAAAATGTTTAAAGTGAAACCCATTGAAAAAAAACTAAAATTAAAAAATATTTTCAACCTTCAAGAAATTTTATAGTGGCAAAAGTTTAGTTTTTTCATTGAAGGTAAAAGAAAGTTCAGAGATAAAAACAAATTTTATTACTTCAAATATAAATCACCATACTCACAAGTTGAATTTTTTTAATTTTATTTAATAAGACATGATAACAAGACATGATAATAATATGTACAACAAACATTAAAAGTAATTACAGAAAGAAATAAAATATGATTTAAATACAAATAAAAACATAACTAAACTATCAACAACACTCGCAAAGTTCATTTTCTTGTTTTACTACATTTTATAAACAATTATTGTAGATAACACATCTTAATAATATTTCACGAAGCAATATTTTATTTAGAACATACTTTATTCATAATACGCAAGCATGTGCTATTTCTAAATCTGACAAACACTAACTTTTTTTACAATCTGTACAAAATCATTTACAGACATTTAGATTAAAATATTCTAAATAAATATTCTAAAAATTCATAATTTAACTGTGACATAAGAATGTTTCAATTAATTTTAATGACAACAAACTCACCATGCATAATTATGTATAGCGCAATTTTGTACAAAAAAAAATCTATTCATTGCACAAAGATTATTTTTAAAAAAAATTTAAAAAAAAAACACGAATTTATACGTTTAAATGTGTAATTCAGTTTACATACATATTCATTCAATTATCGATTTATCATATAAGATACATTTTTATTCATTTTCCTTTCATTTACAAATATACAATTATGTATTTAAACTGAGAATTCATTTTATGGATATAATATGCATAAAATATGCATATGTTTAAACCTTCATGTCACATCAGCTCATAAAAAAACAATTAGAAAAATAACTAATTCTCCCAAAAAATAATCAAAAAAATCATTTAAAAATAAAATAATTAATTTCTTACATCTTCTTATAAGTATCATGTGAATATAAGCCCGGTATAAGAATTTACAGAGTCAATGTACGGCAGAATCTTCATAACTTCAAATTTGTCTTCGGCCTTAGCACAGTTCTACAGAAACTAGTATTGTAAAAATTAGGCTAAATGTAACATAACTGCAGCAGAATTAAATACATCTTATACAACCATGACCAAGGGTCTATTGTTAAGCCACCATATGGTAACAAAATTAGGACATATAAGACAAATAAAAATTACGAAATAGTTAAATTGAACAAACATTATTTTAATTAAAAGTTTTATACATTTTTGAATGAATAAAATAATAAAATAATGGAAATTTAAAAGGTAGATAAGTATCCCTATAAATAATTGGAATTTTTCTCATTCTGAAATCAAGAAGAAAAAAAAATTAAATTTTTCTTGTTATTTAAATTTTTTATTTTTTAAAATACCAGTTAATCAGAGAACATTATTTGGAATTTTTGAAATTCATCACTTTTCTTTTGCATATATATCTGCAGATTGGGAAACAAATTTTTTGAGGACCTAATGCAAATAGTAGTTGAATTGAATTAAAAATTAATTGACTTGGTTTCTCCTTTTAGTAATATATTAGGCTTGTTCTTTAAATATGCTATTAAAAATAATCTTCAGGAGTTGTGATAATTTTTATTTTCTAAATATGAGATACAAACTAATTCGCATATGCTCTGATAATCTGCAGAGCTCGCTGCCATGCTGGAGGATTTCTGCAGCCGGGAATATAAGAATATTACAACTAAAATCAAGTATTCAAACTGTATAATATTTTTAATAAGAATTTGAATTACTTTTTTAAAAAATAAATTAGATTCTATTAAAATTTAAGACCTTCTGCTTAAATTTAGCTTTCAAAATGTATCTCATATAAATAAATCTTTACAAAATAATAAATATTTTTATCACAAACGATATTTTTCCATTATATTAAACAGTCTTTACGTATAAAAGATATTTTCCATGACATTAAACATTTTATCACATATTTTGTATTTTTTACTAAATGTGTAGTAACAAAAATCATAATTTTGAAAACCAGAATTTCTGATAAACCGTTATCATATGAACAAAAAAATGACCAAATGGATGGTTTAAATACTATATATTTTGATATTATGAACCAAAATTAAGTTTTGCTTTTTTTTTACCAAAAATATCAATACTATAAAGTACAGTAATTTTACGATGAAGTATTATTACAGAGTTTTATCACAATACAATAAAAACATTTAATGAAATCACAATGAGTATTTTGTGCGTTTGTAATACTGGCCTTAATGCTTAGATCATCTCCTTCAGTTTCGTCAATACTAAGTCATGATTTATAAAAAATGAAGCAGATTTACCCTGAGTCGTGAAACTGTGGATGAGATTTCTGACACTGTCAAATCTCATCAGTGCTTTAAAAAGCAACGAAAATCATGCGATGTTAAACTTTTCAATGATTTTCCATACTTTACTTTTGGTGCAAAACATTCACCGGTAAACACATCTGGTGATTTCTTTTTCGCCAACCATAGCAGTTTGCAATGACATTTTAAAGGATTACCTGCAAAAAAATTTACTTTTCTAAATTTACTTTTCTAATTTACTTTTCTAAATTTACTTTTCTGTTCTAAATTTACTTTTGATTAAAGAAACAACTAAACTAAATCGTACTTATTAAAGCCATACTATTATCTATCGCTTTTTTTTAAATTAATGTCTATATATTTAAATTATAATATAAAAATTTTCGGATCAAATTACAGTATAAAGTATCGACACTTTGGGTTCAACATCCGTAAAATGCATTTTACGGTAAATGCGGTAAAAATTATGGTATAATATTTTACAGTAAAATGCATTTTTACCGTAAAATAGTATACCATGACGTCTACAGTAATATTTATTTAGCTAGAGTGGTTCAGTGACCTTACAATAATTATTTAAAATTTTTGTTCCTTAACATATTCCGGTAAAAATGGATTATACGGTAAAAAGTACCCTGATACATTTCACCATAATTTGATCCGGAATTTTTGTACATTGTATAGGAAACTGTATTGTCGTTGTATGTATGTTTCTCCCATACTATCACAGTACAGACAGCATAGCAATAGATCATATTATTCATAATGATTGTGATCAGTTTTATCGTAATTTTTCTGTCTAAAAAGGCTAACTTTAGCATCCAGATATGTTAGTTTCGGTCCATCTAAGAATTATCGTTTTAGTAAAAATTTTATTCTTCAATAAAACCTTTTTTTTCATCTTACAAGGAGAGGATACAAACAGTTATATGGAGGGAAGGTTGATTCTTTATAAAGTTAATTTTTAAAGTTATTTAGTGCATATACCGCTTAAATAATACGAAAAGAATCGAATTTTCAAAATGGACCAAATAAAACTTTCAAACTGAGTAAAAACGCCTTCCTCACCTTACGCAATTAATGAAACGATTAATGAAATTAGCAATGATTTTAAGCAAAAGTTACAAACAAACTGTTAAATAAAACTTTAATAGTGCCTTAAATAATGTAAATAATGCCTTAATGTAAATAATAGAATATTGTAGAAATGCAATAATGTAAATAACGGAATATTGTAGTAATGTAATAATGTAAATAATGTAATAAATAATACAATAATGTAAATAATGCCTTAATTAAGTTTCATACTTGCAATCAGAATATGACAGAAAGTCAATGATTGAGATAGATTGATTAAGAGACGTTGTATAAGTGGTTCAACGTAAGTGCTTGCAGAAGATTGTTAATAATACTTTCATTATAAAGCTAAATCTATTTCAGACTATTAAATTATACAAATGTGAAAATATTTTCAAAAAAGCATTCAAAAATTACATCATTTACGACACTTTAGAGAATCACGATTATGCGGTATTTTAAGATTTGACTGACTTATATAACTCTTTCAAAATGTCAGCGTCATAGTGTTTATACCCTTGTAGTTTTAATTTGTATCTAAAAACCAGCGTTCCTCATATTTCTCGTCTATTTTTATTTCCTAATACACTTGGCACTTTCTTTTATTCCAAAAACTCTCTTAGACTGCAAACTCTCTATCCACCAATATCTAAGAAATTTAAAGATTTGGCGAAATAAATTTATGTTGTATGGTTGCACAAGACTAAAATAGGATCTAACTGTGAGAAATTTTTCAAGAAATTCACTTAATACCTTATTCAACTTATCTGTTAAAAAAATCATCAAATCTCAATACAGTTTGAGTATTAGTTCAAAACTTATTTTTCAGTCAAAAATCTCTTGAGAGTTTCAACTTCTATGTACATTATAGATAAATAACTTCTATTTACAATAACTTCCATATGCAATATGGATAAATAATAATAATAACACTATCAATGTAAAAACTTTAAATATTTTTTTCCAAATTATTCTAATTTGTTATGAAACCAAAAGTCATTATACTTAAGGATCATTTAAACAAAGATAATACTAATTATAAATTTCTTTGAATTAAATTAAAATGTTTTGTTTGAATGTTTGAGAAAAAAAAATTTCTAAGCAATCTATTTTTAAATCTTAATCAAGTAAAGCGTCTTTTTAAAATTTTTCAGATATTAATCAAGAACTGCAACTAACAGCTGTGAAATTTAGTTACAGAAAATCTAATAACTAAATATTAATCGCTTAATTCAAATTCATATATATTTAGTTAATATTTTTCCTTGAGTATCTGTTTAGCTTAGTTTCAAATTATCTTTCAACAGTCTGTAGACTTACCTTCAAGTAGCAATACGTCTAAATTATTCCATACAGGTTCAAATGTTCTCGAATGGATTTCAGATATTAAATTTCCTTCTAAGCCTACCCGCTCCAGATAAGGCATTTCATCGAAAATATCATCTGGTAACGAAGTTAACTTATTTCGCCTGAAAAAGAAAAGGAATTTCAACACCACAATTAATCCATAATATAGATATAAGCTCACTGAGCCAATAATAATAATAATTAATTATTTTAATAATAATAATTACTTATTTTAATAATAATAATTACTTATTTTACTAATAATTAATTATTTTAATAATAACTAATTATTTTAATAATAATTAATCATCTTTAAATCAATTAATTATTTTAATAATAACTAATTATTTTAATAATAATTAATTATTTTAATAAAAAATAGTGTTAATCAACTATAGATTTATTGGTAGCCTAGCAGTTAGAGCAGGGGTTTCCAACTTACATGGGGACGTGGGCCGCAATTAAAAACACCAGTCGAATGGCGGGCAGTAACTTTATCAAAATTTTATATAGGACTCATTTATGTTTGAAGGAACATTAAATATTACTGTCAGACTTTTATCAAGTTATACAAAGCAAAAGTATTGAATTACGAATTAAAATAAGAAGTAGATTTATACCTGAGAAAAAAATTTTTTTTGCACGGTTGGTATGTTAAATTTCACAGAAACGATGAAATATTAGGGTTTTTTTTTAACGTAAGTAAAGTACTATTTTAAGCCCATATAGATTTTTTACGAAAATTGTCAGCAAAAAAATTATAATTTATACATTTTAGTTTACGGGTCACAAAAAAAGGCTTCGCAGGGCGGATGTGGCCCGCTGGCCGCCAGTTGGTAACCACTGAGTTGGAGAATAGGACTCCAGTTCGGAGAGGCCGGGGTTCAATCTTCGACTCTGCTAAGACTCACCGAGTATATGCGATGCACATGCCCGTGAAATCTGCAGAATCGAAAGTCCTGAGATAAGTCGCTAATCAGTACCATGGGTTCAGAGATCTGGAGAAAGTTTCCTTCCCGTTCAGATCTATGTCTGAGTTTAGGATGTGATTTCACTAATGAGGGGTACTACCATCCGTCCATGGGGTTCTGAGCTACAATTTTCTCCTATTTTTTTAAATGCACTATTATAACAAAATAATACAGAAAACTAATGTAAGAAACAAACTAACATTTCAATAATTCTAGTTTAACTAGAGTGATGACATTCAATATTAAATGGAACAATAAACGATTTTAAGTAACTTCATTCACATTTGGAAATGTTCCACGTAAATTTAAACGTAAAAACAAAATTCATGAAATTGTGCAAAAGAATTTTATAGTTGTTTTGTTTACCTAATATTGAAAAAAGCCATTATTCCTAAATATTTACAATAATAATAGGACTTATTGAAATTTCGTTAAGAAAACTACTTTAAATTTTAAAAAAATCAGAACATAACCATAATTAATTTTATGTAAATTTAATGAACAAAATAAAGAAACTTTACTTCATCCAGAACCGAAAAATGCTCCTTTTCAACTCAATAATACTACTATTTTCCACAGGAAAGTGTTTCAACTTAGTGAATTTCATTAAGGCTTCAGAGCTAACAATATTCTTTGTTGTGTATTCAATAATTAAACTTCTAAGATTCAATTTCAAATAGTCCGAAAGATATCGTCTAAGTGAGTCATCTCCATATTTGCTGCTGTCAATTTCTGCAAATGTCTGGAAACGCCCGGAAGCTTCTAAGACCAAGAATCCCTGAATAGAATATCGTCTAGTTTCAACTGTTCCAGACGAACTCGAATGTTACTCTCTTTTAGTTCAGACAATATGTATAAACATCAATTTGAACTTAATCGCATCTCTAGAATTTAAGTTATATTACAATTATAAAGTACCTCTTATTCAATATTTAAAAATTCTTTAGAAACATGCATTTTCGATTTTTATTTACTTTATTTATCGTTGTGTTGCTTATCTTATATAAAAAAATAACTATTATCGCTGAATGTTTAAAATAATATTATGATTAAGTGAAGTTTCGTTACGTAGAATTGCTTTTAATAAAAAAGAATCAGAACATAGACTTAATAAATGTCATGCAAATTTAATGAACTTACCCTAAATAAAGAAACTTTATTTTAGCTGGTATAGGAAACATGCTCCTTTTCAACTCAGTAATATGATTATTTTCCATCGAAAAATGTTTCAACTCAGTGAATTTCGTTAATGCTTCAGATCTAACAATGTTCGTACTCGTTGACTTAAGAGTTAAACTTCTGAGATTTTCATTCAAATGGTCTGAAAGATTACCATCTAAGTGCGTCACCTCCATATTTGCTACAGAAAATTCCAGCAAATGTCTTAAAACGCTCAAAGGTTCCCACGACCAAGAGTCCCTGAATAGAACATCGTCCAGCTTCAACTGTTCCAGGCGAACTAGAACGTTACCCTCCAATAGCTTGGATAATGTCACAGACTTAACGTTCAGAACGAGAAATCCACAGAAATCTAGAATGTAAAGCGGTAAAAAATCAAGAGAAGATTTCTCGAGAAATACCTCCTGCATATTTCTCCTCGAGCTGCATCGTAGAACGCGAATAAAAGTCTTCATGTCGTTGATGTTTTCACACCACACACTTTGTTCGAATCGTGGATGTCTTTTACAAGGATCTAAGTTGTCACTAACGCATGCTGTGTTGGAATATATTATTGTAGTAGATGCCATGGAAAACAATAATGGCAAAACTAGGAAAGTTGTTTTTATAACCATCTTTTGGCTTTACAAATTAAATTTTATTGCACTTGTTTTGTTATTTGGTATTATAGCTGTCATAAATATTATCTTCAATTTCTAAAATTAGAGAACTGTAGCAAATTACATGGTACAACCACAGATACAAACAGCATACACCATAACTGCATCACACTTATCCACTGATGGCAGCATAGTATTTAACAGTTAAAGAGTTGAAAGGGTAATGTATGTGATAATTAATCTACACTATCAAAGGTTAATATGTAGAAATCTTTCAAAATATTCTGGTTATGTAGTAGTTTTAGTGATGACCTTGTACCTAATATCAAATTAGTATTATCACGTGCTATAAGGGCGTGAAGTAATTTAAGTACCATGCTATCTCAGCAGCGGTTGGTCCTGTTGCTAGTGAAGGTCAGTATCTAGATATGGTGAAAGAACCTACTCAATACATCATCAATTATGTGTGAAAGTTGGTGAAATGTAATGCTGTTAGCTGATAAACAAAACTTTTGAAATTAAAATTTCACACATTTACCTCATAAATGCTTATAACTGTAATATTCTCTACCACGTGCGAAAAATTCACATGCTCTGCGAAATTCTATCGCAAAAAGGCCTATGAACTCTTTAAAATTTGTTTACGATGACTAATAAATACATTCAATATAATTTTTTTTAATGGAACGACTTAAACACTCGTAAATGGATTGCTGGAATTTAAATGTGCTGACACATGAGGAAACATGATGCAATGAGGAAAAATGACCTCGATTGAAACATTCAATTGTGTTTTTGTAGTATTTTGTTTTTTAATTCACGTGACAAAGCTTTATTTCTCGCTGCACTGTTTATTTGTTAACAGCGTTTTGTTTATTTATACTCATGTTATATAACGCTTGCTTAGTAAGCAAAAATATTGCAATTCACAAAAGAAAATTTGATGTTAATCGTTTCCTGTCTTCTGTTTTTACCTGATTTAAAATACAGAAACAATAATTTCAAACGCGATTGTATATAGTATTTACATATCACAGTATATATGATATATACAGTGCATCAATCACTACATAAAAATACCTAGCCCACTGACTTCTCAATATCTTCTCACTTAAGACGCATGCAACATCAATAGGAAATCGCCGAACACGTTTAGGCAAACAATTCCAACAATATAGGGCATTTTAAGAATAGTTTTAGAAAAAACTTTATTTTTCGCTTCTGAAATTTTTACTTCTAATTTGTAACATTTTTTAAACATTTATACTTAAACATTAAAAAATAATCATTTTAATTTTAATTATTTTAATAAAGTTTTTATGCGGCGTACCTAATTCAAAATATCCTTTAGAAGATTTATGGGAACGTTAGAAAAAAAAATTTGACGCAAAAGAAAATGTAAAAATTTGAATAGAAATGCATAACATTTTTATTTGGAAATGCATTAAAAATTTGCTTAAATTTTTATTTGCGAAATGAGTGGTAACTTAAATATTATTAGAGATTTTTTTAATTCAAAAAGAAAAAAAATTTTTACAATTTGACTAGAAATGATTACATTTTTCGGAAATATATGACCAATAAGCTATAATTTTATTCTAAGCGAACGCAAAAAAATCTTAAAACATTTTCAACTAATTTGCTGAGTAATCGTTATAAATCTCGTTAAAAGTTCAAATCCTAATGTCTTGAAAGAACAATATTTTTTTTCGAATACTTTCAAAGAGCATGTGAATAATTAAGTTTTTGTCTTTTCAAATTGTCTTTTTACGTCATAAAAATGATTGTTCGATTCAATTTTTACAAAAAATTTTTGAGTTCTTTTTGTTAATTAAAATTTCGCCAGATTTGCATTATTTGAAAGTTTACAATTCTTATCATCTGTTTACATTTTATTTTTTACTTAAATGCTAGGAATAACCTTTTTGTTATAGATTTTTCAAGGGTGCAAAAATTAGATCAAACCTCTTTTCTTTAATATGGTTTGACCAATTTCAAGGGAGATTTGCTCAACGGAAATAAAAACAGTTGTTATAGCATTAAGTATCTAAACAGTCATTAAATATCTAAATAAAAGTCTGTCTTACAGGCGATAATCGTGTCAAAATAAATATACAGTGATACACGAAAGTTAACATACACCTTTCAAAATTAACAGAAACTTATTTATTTCAAATATTTACCTAAGAATTGAATTCAATTTAGCTTAAATTGATTAGAAGTAAAAAATTGATGAGCAAAAACAGCAGTTTTTTTATCATTAGACATAAAATAATATAAAATATTGGAGAATCAGTCATTTCGCAAGTCACGAAAGTGAACATACAGGAAATTCTACGTTTGANTCTGTTATTCACTTTATTTTTTGCTTATAGTTTTCTCTTTTTAATATTTTGAGTACTCTTATTTCTCTTTATTATTGCACCTCTTCTCGATTTCCTTTTTGATTTGAACATCAGCAAATTCTTGATTTAGAATTATGGGTTAAATCTTTTTTAATAGCCATTCATACAAAAAAAAGCATCAAAATAGAAAGCAAATAATAAATAACCTGACTTCCATTATGATAATTTAAATACCCAAAGAGTTTAATTTTCTCTTTTATGTGTTAAAGATAAATAGCACTGAGGAGAAAAAATTACTTCTCTGATTATAAATGACATAGGTGATTTTTACTTGATTTTATTTGCAAATGGTTGATGAGCAGGAACAGTACTTGATTTTGATTGATTAGATGTTGCAATCTCTAATAAAATGTTTAAATGTTAAAAGAATAGAGTTCGTTAGACCCCTCGTATAATCAAACTTATGAGCAGCTTCTATGCTAAAAATCTCCAAGCATATTTTTTTAAGAAAAACAAATTTAGTGTATGAGCATTTAGGGAATTTGCAGCATTTATAATACTTATGCAAAAATTAAATTATTCGTGCAAAATAAAATAACTTTTTATTTATTGATTTTTACGATTCATGTTAAAAATTATCTAAAAGCATTTCATGCATATTTTTTCATCAACTTAAATTATGTTAGTTGCTTTATACATACATACTATACATTTTAAGAAAAAAATTTCTATCGTGGAGTAATTTACATAAAGAAACAAATCTATAAAATGTTCTCTATAGAACAAATGAAACAGCAATAATATTTAACTTCCAACTTGTTACTTCATTTATAGATTTGAAAAAAGTATCAGTTCATTTTTCAGATATTGCTCTTACATTGTTTTTCTGACTTAATAGTTTTTTTCCTTCACTAAAATATTTTAACTTTTCTCTAAGATCAAAGAGCTTTTTTGTTACTTCCGTGATTTCTTAACTTTTCCCACTGAAAATCGGTTTCCGATAGTTTTTCTCTCCTACTTTTATATTTTTCCGTGTAATTCTACTGAACACCATCTATCTTACACAGCTACGAAAAGAAACGAGAAAAACTATTATTATTTATTTATTGGTTGTTTTTCCTTTCCGGTTTTGTAATACAGAATATATTTCATTGCTGCGCACGTAAGCAATTTCAGCATCAAATTTAATATTTTGTATTAATACCAAAATTTTAATTTTCTTTAACAAATCTCGAAAACTAGTCTAATTGTTAATTTTGCCTACAAAAGCAGATAAACATTACTTTTCTATCGTAAAAATTTGAGCTTAAAGCTAATTTTTGTTAAACATTTTAATAAAGTTAAATACTTTTTCAAATGGTTTCACTTATAAAAATTGACAGAATGTAATAAAATTTACAGTGTTTGATAAAATCGATAAATAAGTAATACTCTTGTCAAGATTTTATTTTATAACCGTTTTGAACAGCCGACCCAATTTTGGGTTTACGTTTACCAATGTTCAACTCCTTAACCCTGAAATTTTAAATCCAATCCAGAAGACAAGGGAACTCCTGGATCAAGTATGGCTAGAAATTTTTCCTTCGTGGTGCACTTTTTAATGGAACTAACTCGCATTTGCGTTACATGGAGAGGAAAATCCAGAAAACCTCTCACGGTTAGTCTAACGGCAAGGGGACTCTAACCCACGATCCGTCAACCACTGAGGATATTTTACGTCAACACTGCGATCGGTGTGAGCCGGGTATGGAATTCGTATTAAAATTTGCAAAAACATCTGTAATTTGAAAAATGGCAAAGGCGTAAATGCATTTAAAAAAAATGTGTATAAATCATAAATGAATAAGTACAACATGAAAATACAAGCATTCATGAATTTTAAATATTGAAAAATTATACAAATCATTAATTTGAATAATCTATTTTTTAAAAAATGGAGGCTATAATCCACCAAATCTCGCTAAATCTTCAACAACCAACTAGGATTAAACCAACATGAACATTTTCGAAAAAAGCACATAAATTATAAATTAATAAATACAACATGAAAATACCATAATTTATGATTTCCAAATATTAAAAAAATATGCAAATCATTAATCCGAATAACCCATTTTAAAAAACCCACCGAATACAACAACCGACTAGGATTAAACCAACATAAACATTTTTAAAAAAAGCACATAAATTATAAATAAATTAATACAACATGAAAATACAATCATTTATGAATTCCAAATATTGAAAAATTATACAAATTCTTAATCCGAATAACCCATTTTTAAAAAAAATGGAGGCTATAACCCATCAAATTCCGCTAAATCTACAACAGATTGCAAACTATCACCCTCCCAAATATCACTAGTGCTGCCGAATTTCACCATTTACGAATACTAGTATTGAATCCAACGTTTTCTAGCTATAAAAGAGTTTTAATAAACTCTTTTATAGCTTGAAAACATTGGGCTTGTTATTGATTTTGACATGTTTAAAAATCATACTACTGGGCAGTTAATTATGAGAACTTACTATCCATTTCTACGTCCACTGGTTACTTTGATTCGTTTGTTTTTACCTGGTAAAATTTCAATACACTTATCTTGAATGTTAGGAAATTTGTTTATGTTGATTCTATGATCACCGTCACCAAACTGATAAATTATCATAAATGGAAATATATATAAATAGTTTAAGATTATAAAAAGTTGAAATTTTAAGTCATAAAATCTGTTAAAAACAATTTGTTTGCTAACTGTTTTATCTCAATTTGTTTATCAAGTGGTTTATATACATTTACGTTATTAAGTTAGAAAAGATATATTAAATAAATAAATGTTTAAACATAATTCCATCCAAAAAAAAATGAAGTAGTTTTTCGTTTGTATAATTTTGAATAATACTGAAGTTAAATAATTATATCTTATTTTTGGAGAAGTAATTAATTTAATTTTGTATCATGAAATCAAAATATTCAAGAAATTTATTCAATTGCATGCTGGAAAATAAAATTTAAGCGAATTTTTTTTTAATTCTTTCTAATAGTTTATAAATTTGAAGAAATTCCAACAATAAATATCCAACACCATAAAAACGGAATGACTGTATACAATAATTTGTTACTTTTCGCAATACTATACTTTTCGCATAGTAGTAATATTT